TGTAAAAAAAAAATTATTTTTTGAGACATGAGGTGCCAACTTCACAGAGGTGCATTACGGGCCGCCCGTTCGGTATCGTTCAACGAGCCGGGACGACCCGCGGTTTTTCCCCTCCCGCGGGGGGCGGCGGGGTTAAACGACGGGCCCGTCCCCCCCCCCCCCCCCTCGCCCCTTCCGCTTCCGCTTCCGCTGCGCGCCGTCCGCGCACGATTGTTAATACGCCGTTTTATTAATTCACGAGAATTGTCACCGCTCTCTGCGAGAGCCCTCTCGTAACTCTCTCTCTCCCCCCCCCCCCCGCAACAACGGGATGAATCTTTAAGAGTGAATTTTCCTCTCTCGCGGAAGCATCGACACGCGGAAATTGCGATGGGCCTCCAGAGGCTTGCGAATTTATCAATAATAACAAGGCAATTACGACATAATATACGCGATAAAATTGAGGGGTTGGGGGGGGGGAGAGAATTGAGAAGATTTAAAATGTAAAACAGGGCACGTAATGCGAAAACTATCAGCTCGCAATTGCGACGGACGGCTGTGGGAGACATTAATGCGTGTGCCGATGTAAATGAGGTGAGGTGAAACGATAATAAAGAAGCGGGTATAAATTATCAGCGGTTATCGCGAATCGCAAACACGGCTCGAACTAATTGCCCGAAAACGTTGCGCTACCACGTCCGCGTCTAACTTTCGCGAGGCATCGCGTAAATTGAACGCATCGCGATCGCAAATTCATACATACACGGTGTACCTGGCCGAGAGGGTAAACCGGGATGGGACTCGTTATTTTTCCACCGTGTTCATTTCGCCGCTGGCAATGAAGTGCTCTCATTAATAAAGCATTTGGGGCATAAATTAATTATCGTCCCGGCTCGGCCTGGTTCGCTTCTGTCTCCCCTCCCCCTCCGCCTTCTCGCGCGGCGAGCTTTCCGTTTTGTTTTCCCCTCGTCGTAGCCCGCTCGATTATTCCGGAAATCGACCGGTCCGCTTGCGGAATCAACAGTTTTGAGAGAGAGAGAGAGAGAGAGAGGGGGGGGGCTGAGACTCAGCCTAAGACTGAGAGAGGAGGCTAAGACTTAAACTGAAAGGGGGCTGAGACTGAGATCGAGAGAGAGAGAGAGAGGCTGAGACCGGAAAAGAGACTAAGACTAAGACTGAGAGAGGGGTGAGGGGGCTGAAACTGAAACTGGAAGAAAGACTAGGACTGAGAGAGGGGGTTGAGACTGAGACTGGAAGAGAGACTGCGACTAAGACTTAGAGAGGAGGAGAGAGACACCGGATTACTTTCGTCGGTCCGTTTTTTCCACCTTGATGATCGAATATCGCGAGTTATCTCGCGCTGCGAGCGACACGCGATTTCCAGAGCCGCCTCTCCCTCTTTTTCTACCTTTCTTTCTCAATGGGACGCTAATTTACGTCGAGGCTTTCGTGGCCGGCCACGGAAAATCCGCGGTAAATCGAAACGCGCGATAAAAAGGGGCGCCCGGGCGAGAAATTAATCGCAGCCCGGAAGGTCTCGGACGTGTTAAGCGATGAATTAAGAGGATCTCTCTCTCCGCCGATGGCCGAGATATCGTTGTACGGCGGGCCAACAACTAATTACGGCTTACGGCGCCTGAATCAATCGCGGGGGCTTCGCGCGGTATAATACAAATGAAGAATTACGATAAACGGGCGAGTGGCAAGATAACAGCGCCGGCCGATATTCAGCCGTCGTCGCTCTACCGTCGTGTTTAACGCTGAAACGTGATTTATCAATTTTAAATTACATCTATCTCCGCGAGAGAAATACGGTATTCCCCCGACGCGCATTATACTTGTATCGACGCGTGTTAATGTATGATCCATATTTAACCGCGTGAGCTAATAATAATCTCACGTACGCTGGAAACAAAAAGTTCGCCACCGTAGCTAATCGTGATCTGCTAAAAATATCTTGCTGCCGTAACTATACATTGCTAAAGTACAGCAAACGGTTCGCCGTCACACCTAATACAATAGACACGGTAGCAAAATATTAGCTATCGCAACTAAGTGGACTTAGGTGTCCATATTTTACAACTGAAAGTTAGTTGCCACGCGCAGTTTTCAGCTGCGGGGGCTACACTTTATTTTCCGTGTATAAGTAGACGGGACTTTCCTCCTAAATTCACGTTTTTGCGAAAGACGACGCGCAAATAGAGACGGCGGATAAGATTAGTTTCCGCTTTAACACGCACAGCGGAGAATCTCCATTCTCTTTTTCTCTTTCAGGGGACGCCATCCATTGCTCGGGAGCACGAGACGCAAATCAGCTGGTATGTCAAATAATCAGCTGGTTGACTCCTGTCTGTAAGTGTCTTTCTCTATGTTAAATTAAACCGCGGCAGAATTCTCACACCCGCTTCTCCGGCTATCATCGACAAGGAATTAACATTGTGCGTCTCGCCGTAATGTCACCCGCGATTCATTCATTCATTCCGAGCGTTTCCACTTCACTCTTTTTTTATTCTTCTTGTATCCTTTCTAACAATTTGTAATCCCCGGTTCGCAATAAACTCCGCGAGTAATTCGCGGCGCGCTTCCTCGGGCTCTCGCGGTAAACTTCGGTCTTACCCCCTGACGACTTTGACGTCAACTTTCCTTTGCGATAATTCAGACATAATTACAAAGTTATCTAACGTGAGGGATTAAAAAGGTTTCGGCGCGTTAAGCTTCGGGCTTGCAAATAAACGACGTGGCCTCGCTTTCTCCGCGGATTGCCAGCTAAAACTCGGCCCCGCGTTGTCTTAATTCGCGAGCGAGGGTTCTTTCTCTCTCTCTCGCACACATTTGGAATATCGCGAACGTAAAGAGTCCCCGAGACCGCACGATGGTGCGTCTCCGGCGAAAAAGACAGTTACAACGACACTAGACGACGAGAATGACGACGAGAGAAATAAACGACCTTTGTTAATTCTGCGAATGATCGACCACTAGGCTGGTGAATCGCCGCATCGAGCAGAGACAGGAGCACAACATAACTCGCACTGAGATCACGCAGAGGTGACTAACATACCATTAATCATCGGCGGTAGTCACTCGCGCCGAAGCTCGCGGCAGCGCACGATCAATTTTATCTCTCGGATAACCTCGAGACCGAAAGTTATCGTTTGCTGCGTTTAAAAAAAGAAACGACGCAAAGATACTAAGGTGCGGATCGTACAGCGCGGTGCATCAATTCGGTTCGTATCATCAAAGATTATCCATGTCTAAATAATCGAACGTTAATTAAAAGAACGCAACGTAGGGGGCAATAAAAGCCAGACGCTAGATATTAGGTGCGGATATAACAAATTTATATTATTTATTTCAAGTTAACAATGTCAAACGTTTCGACCAACTCGTGTGGTCCTTTCCAGTGACGATCGAAAGTGAAAAAGGTGAAAAAAACTTATCATGTCAACATATTATTGTGTGTTGTGACGGCCGCAATTAGAGTAATAAAGTGATGAGTTGATCGAAACGTTTGACATTGTTAATTTCAAATAAATAGTATAAATTTGTTATATCCGCACCTAATATCTAGCGTCTGGCTCTTATTGCCCCCTACATTGCGTTCTTTTAATTAATGTTTGATACATAGAGCCGTAGAAAAATTATTGTTTTACTGCCTAAATAATCAAGTAATTTTGGCCCGTCCTCAATTGTTACCCGAATTAGTGTACTGTACGAAGCATTGTTATTACATGTGTTATGTTTCTCGGGTCAATTACCGACGCAGACGAGGTCTCCTCTGGGTCGACCTCTCGCCGTCGATTTACACGCGCGCGCGTAATCCTGGCCAAGCCGCAATTAGCGCGACAAAATCTTAAGACCTGCGTCCGCGATGCTGGAACGTGGTCCACGTTCTAGTCTCGAGAAATGTGTAGCCAATCAACTTGCAGCTTTTATGGAATAGCTGCAAGTTGATTGGCCACACATTTCTCGAGACTAGAACTTGGACCACGTTCCAGCATCGTGGTCGCAGGCATGGTGTAAAGATACCAGGTGAAGCAATCTGGTGGATACGCAGTGTCAATCAATCAGAAGTGGCCCAAACTACCGAATTGACCAATGAGAAATTTGCCCCAAACTTCAAACTGCAAATCATTGCGGTTGAATGCAGGAGAAACCAATGAATAATTTGCCCCCAAAATTTACATGCGCAATGTTTCACCTTGTATCTTTACATAGTCACAGGCCTCTGCAAAAGGATGCCAATTCGCACGGGGTTGACGAGGCCCGTTATCGGCGGCGATCTCCACGTGCGCGATCTCCGCGAGGACAACGCTCGCGCGTGCAGACCGTTACGAGCGCGCTCTAAATTGCGGCGCGGCCTAATTAGCGCTAATTGACCCGACATCGTCGCGTAAATTCCTAATAATCCGCTAAAATCCCACTGAGACGCTGCGCGCGAGCGCTTGCGGGGCGAGTGACACCGCCGGCACCATCGACGCATGTTCGTGCAATCATTTAGCATGACCGGAGTGACGTGGCCGAGAAGAAGGATGCTCCGCGCAATTGGTATCGTTCTCCTCGGGATCCACCGTCGCGCCCAGTAGCTGCTGTGTGTGCACCCCTTCGTTTTGTACACTTGACTTGCCCTTCATTACGCGCGTCAATCACGCGCGCTCGCCGCCGCGCAAACAACTCCCGTGTCACTTAATTCACGATGCATCTCGTGACGTAACTCGCGTACTCCTCGATCGATCTCGCCTGGAAATATCGAGGGATCTCGGCGGCTCTCGTCAGTCTTCCTTCGGTATCAATTCGAAGGAGACTCAAAATAGTTCCTGGTGAAAGGGAGGAGAGGCCTCGAATCGATCGAAGAATACGGCTGGAAGTTCGGTAACCCGTTGTTACGTGTTTATACGTCTGTGTGTGCTACATTCCGATCGGTAGTTTATTATTTCGAACGCGAATGAAATACCGCCGTGCAAAATTATCATCTTTGACTGCCGCGTCATCCATACCTGAGTGACGTGTGAATTTCCGCGAGGACTCCGTCAGTTGGATTTTGACAGTTTCGTTTTTCGTGATTAAGAACGAGTTCGCTGGGTGTTTAGGATATTTAAAAAGTAATATAAATTATATTGATGTATATATATATATATGAAAAAAACAACAAAGTATCGAAACGATGCATTGTTAAAAACAGAGCTATTCATTTTTTTATCTCTCCGCTTGCATTTATTTCAGTCACAGAGACGTCTGTTATTTCGATTTGCGAGGGACGGTTTTATTCGCGCCATCAGCAATTACATTATTAAAAAAGTGTAATAATAAAAACAGCATAATATATTAATATTGTTTTTATATTTATTTACTGGTGTAATTTTAATTTTGCAACGTGCCTGAGCCGCGCACTCCTCGACTTCGGGCCTGCCAAGAGCTCGATGTCGAGGTCAGCTGGGCGGTCAAGCGTCGCTGCACCCCCGTCTCAGAAAACGACACGCCGTAGAATTGAGCTTCGTAGTGTATCATAAAGTGTCAATTATCGTAAGATATCTCCCCCCTTTCTCTTTCACTTTCTTCTAGCTGCCTCCTCTCGTAAACAGTACACGTCAGTAATTCACAAAGCGTTTCCACCGGCGCGCCGATACGCGTACAGCGGAGTCTCAAAGAGAAACGTTTCGTTTTCAGACGCGTCCTGCAGGAGAAACCCCCCGACATGCCGCAATACACGTAAGCTCGCTCACAGTAATTTACGATATCACGCAACGCCACGTATGTACGCGCTTCCGACGATCTCTCATTTCTTTGATTCACCTGCCGTAGCGGACAGGGCGACACGGATTACCATGGGAGTAATGGACAGGCGGACACCCACTCGTTGCACTCGTCTCATCTGTCCGTCCAGGAGGATCCGCTGCTCATCCGGACTCACAAGCAACAGACTTCTCAACAAGTGAGACCCGACTCCTGCCGATACTTTTCCGCCCGAGATCTCGCGTTCTCTCGAAAGTTCACTCACCCCCGACGTTGTCGCCGAGTTACAAGTGCGCGGCTCACAGCGCAGCGCTCAAGGAAATTTCAAATTATTCAAATTTTTTAATATAATGTAATAATGTAATAATATTTCTGTCCCTTTTGTTTTTTTTACACACTTTCGTTTCAAGTGCGACTTTGCCATTTAATCGCGCAGTCTCTAATTTCTAAACGTGACGCGTGAAACGGGGAAAAACAAAGCGAATCCGCCCGGTTAACTTTGCCCGAGATCACCGGGACTTTCGTCGCGCTCCATTTCGGAAATCTAATCCCGCCGTTCGACGTAATCGCATTTCGCATGCCGTGCGGATGTTAACGTACACACTGCGTGTCGCGCGGAAAACCCAGTTCAACGGGCACGCGCGGCAGGGAGAGAGAATGCGATTGTGTGTGACGGCGCGCGCTTCCCTCCTCAGGTGACGACCGTGACGAAAGTCGTGCGCGAGGTTTCCCACATGGAGCCGGATCCGGGCGCGGTCAGCTACATGTCGGTGCCGCTGATGTCGCAGGACTATCAGCACGCGGACCCACGCTACCCCGCGGACCCGTACATGGTCAGCTTCGACCATTACGATCCGTACCTGGGCTACCCGCCGCAGCCGGGCTACCCGGGGCCCCACGGCATCTACATGCCGCGCTCGCACTCCCCCCACAGCCCCCACAGCCCGTCGGAACACAGTCGTGCTTCTCCGCCACACGGTACGTAGCCTCTTCTAGTCCGACTTGATCGTTTTCTTATTCTACTTCTGCAGTTTTCTTTTAAAACTCACCCCGAAAATCGTGGGACAACCCGGCATTTCGAACAACTTTATGAGAGTTTTTTTAAATTTTACCATACGTTTTACCAGCAAAATGTACGCCAAGTATGATTGCTAGTAAAAAGTATGGTGAAACTTGAAAAAACTCTCATAAAGTTGTTCGAAACGCCACGTTGTCCCGCGATTACGTGATTTTCAGGATAAATGTTGAGAGAAAATTCTCCCCGTGTATTTTTCATTATGCGTAAACTAATCTGAATATTGTAAATTTGCAGCTGGTCATTTATCAAGCGTCGAAATTAAATTTAATATATTATTTATTACAATATATATATAACGTGCAACGTGGTAATAAAATATACAACATTGTAATAAATAATATATTCAGTTCAATTAACATATTATCTAATATACAAAATGTTTTGAAGGTTTAAAATTAGGCAAGTGGTGTCGCGAAAGATAAATGATCGTTTCCTCGCGAAACTCTTGCTCCGCGTCGCGGGAGATTATTAAGCCAGCGCCACAAATAATTCGATTGCTAATTGTGGGCCCCAAAATGGGTTGCTAACTGTCTTTTTTTATGCGCGATTAGCCACTCGCGGTGATTCGCTAGCCGAGCGGTTTCTTGACGAAAATAGTGGTTTCTCGACTAATATTGAAACTTGACTAACTGTAGACTTACGAAGCAAATCCTGTAATAACAGGTAAAGGTTAAAAGCTGTCCAAGTTAACACGAACGAAACGACAAGTAACAAATTACGAATGTAGAAATCTCTTTAAGTTACCAGTAATAAATAACAATAATCAACCTTTTAATCGGCATTAACCGGCCAGTGTTTTAATACAGAAAATTTAATGCGACAAATATTACCTCAGTCAGGGTCTGTAAGCGAGCGTCTCACTCGATTGCGCCTCAGAGAGCAGGGAAGTCCAGGTTCAAACCCTGGCTGGGGTAATATTTTTCGCAATTTTCTGTATTAAAACACTGGCCGGTCAAATGACGAATGATAAATTGCAAATTATGAATAGCGTGGCGAGTAATAACGAATATCCAACGAATTTCTGCGAATCACGAATCGCGCATGACAAATTACACACAGTGTGGCGCTGGCTTTAGACGCGACGCGCTCCGAGGACGTTACACCTCGTCTCTGAGACGTCTCTCGCGGGAGAGGCGGCGCGCCAAGTGAATCTTCGATAACAATATAAACACGGCGATCTGTTTTCCGCAGAGTACATGCGCAAGGGTGCGCCCTACGTGGAGGGTAGCTATAACGACATCGACCCCGGCTTAAACCCCGCTTTGCAGGACCATTATCGCATTACTCCGAGTCCAGGTGGTCCTGGAGATCAGTACGGTAGGTGAACGGGGAGACTCCAACAAGTGCGAGCCGAGGGGTCTCGTGTGCCGCGGGGGCGGCGCCCGGTCGACTCGATTTTAGCGCATCGTGCGCCGAGCGAGTCGCGCGATTAGATCCGCGTCACGTGCGAGAACGCGCCCTCCTTCGATGGGGGAGGGGGAGGGCAAAGCAAGGGGGGAAAGGGAACGCCGTATAACTCACTTCGATTATCTCCTGGCGTTACCTCGCTCGAGAATCGAATCGGCGACTACGGATGGTACCTTCCTCGGCAGCCTCCTCTCGCGATGGAGGTCGCATCCACCATTTGTCCAACCCGCGACCCTCCGGCCTCCCTCTTTCCCCTCCCATCCGTCAAGCGGCTCCTTCGATATCGAAACGCGAATTGGTACTCGCCGTCCCCCGTGCGAGCTCTCGTTAATGACTTTATGTGACTTATTAAGACAATCCATATTTCATTTAAAGCTGACTGAGAAGTAACGTTTATCCTTTTCCCGTGATCGTTATATGTATATGTCAAGTCGGATAGACACGGCACATGCGAGAGACCATTTAAACTGCCACGTAATACGACATAAAATTATATTTTAATTCTGATGTACCCGTGATATGCCATTTTCAATGGTACACATGGTTTTAATTCAGATATTGCCTTTTCGGTGTCCGTTTCGTTGCCGGCTGGGATAAATGAAAATGAAATAGTGAAGTGTACCGCTTGCAATTACAATTAATAATTGTTCAAAGTTATTAAAGATTTGTATAGAAATAATCAACGGTACTGATGTTACGTCATATTTACGATGTTATATATCTTTTCAAAGCATATATATAATATCCTGGAGAACATTAATATCTTCGAATCGCGGAGCGAAGATAAGCAGTTATCGTTGAAGATAACGTAAGTGAATTATGCGGCTGCGAGAACGAGACTCTCCGGCTCAGTCGAACGGGTGAATTCGATAAGAACGACATTAGGATCGTAACAGTATTAGTAATCGATGGCCTGCCCGGATCCCGTTTCAGACGAGAGCAAAGTCGCCTATGGCTACGTGTCGCCGTCGCCGTACGGGCCCGTGGGGTACGGGCCCGCCGTGGGGGTCGGGCCGGTGCCGAGCGACGTGCCCGGCTACGAGGAGGGCCATCCGGGCGTGCCCCTCACGTCGGCCGTGCCGCCCGGCATCTTCGAGGACGAGGTGCACCTGCAGCGGCTGCAATCGCGCCACCCGGTGGTGCCGGGCATGGCGAGCCCGCTCGACGACGACCAGAAGTCGATGCGCTGGCGGGACCCGAACCTGTCCGAGGTGATCGGCTTCCTGAGCAACCCGAACAACATAATCAAGGCGAACGCGGCGGCGTATCTGCAGCACCTCTGCTACATGGACGACCCGAACAAGCAGAAGACGCGCAGCCTCGGCGGCATACCGCCGCTGGTGCAGCTGCTGGACCACGACAATCCGGACGTGTACAGGAACGCGTGCGGCGCCCTGCGGAATCTGTCGTACGGCCGGCAGAACGACGAGAACAAGCGTGCGATCAAGAACGCGGGCGGCGTGCCGGCCCTGATCAATCTCCTGCGACGGACGTCCGACGCGGAGGTCAAGGAGCTGGTCACGGGGGTGCTGTGGAACCTGTCCTCGTGCGAAGTGAGTGGTCCCCGAGCCGCGCGGGATCGTTATAAACATTGGACAAATTTTCTCGTATTCTCCAATCTGTCAGGGTGTTCTAGGAGGAAAGGTCCATATTCTGGGAGGTGATAGTATCGGTCATTTTAAGCAGAAATGTTCGTACGAATGTATGTCCCATTCCCCCACCGTTTCCGAGTTAGAGCTATTTGAATGTACAGTTGCTGACAAGACAGAAATACCGCGTACTATTTGTAATATTTATTGTTCAAGTGATACATTTTTACGGTTCATAATAAATTTCCAAAAATTCCACCGTTAACAATGCATTTTTCAACTCTTGTGTAGACATGGCGCGTTGCTCGTTTGACATTTATAAGTAAGCGAGGCATTTTTAACATTTCTACAATGTTATCAGTACAACAGTCAGCAGACGTATAAGAGTTATAAATTCTCGCAGACGTTTAATGAGGTTGGATGAAGAGTGAAGTGTACAGAAAAAAAATAGATACGCGAGACATTCAAGTAGCTCTATCTCGGAGACAGTGGAGAATGGGGCATACATTCACATGAACATTTTTGCTTAAAATGACCGATACTATCACCTCCCAGAATATTGACCTTTCCTCCCGGAACACCCTGTATATCGGGCCCGATTTTTCCAACCTCTTGGTAAGCTCATAGTTAAATTATATGTCTAGCTTTGTCTAATTTGAAGGAAAAACTGAGACATATAATTTAACTATTAGTTAACTTACCAAGAGGTCGGGGAACAACCAGCTCCTTTACAGGCGATTTTTTGGCGACTGTTTGGTACATATACCAAACACTCGGCGCCACGAATGCCTTTACACCTGAAAATAGCCATTAAGTTCAATATATTCCGATAGAAAAATTTATTTTATTAAAATAAATTGGATGTCTTCAGCGTCAATCTTCAGGTGTACAGGCTTTCATGACGATGAGTGTACACTCTGGTATATGTACCAAACGGTTGCCAAAACTCGCCTTATATTAATTAACAAGACAGAATCTTACTCGCCGTTCGGTCGTTCAATTACAACTCCAATCCGATCTTTTTGTGTGAGAGAGCTGACCTTGACGCACGATTTCAGGACCTGAAGAGATCGATCATCGACGACGGCGTGACGATGGTGGTGAACAACATAATAATACCTCACAGCGGCTGGGACCCGAGCTCGTCGTGCGGCGAGACCTGCTGGTCCACCGTGTTCAGGAACGCGTCCGGGGTGCTGAGGAACGTGTCGAGCGCGGGCGAGTACGCGCGGAAGAACCTGCGCGAGTGCGAGGGCCTGGTGGACGCTCTGCTCTACGTGATGCGCTCGGCGATCGAGAAGTCCAACATCAGCAACAAGATCGTGGAGAACTGCGTGTGCATCCTGAGGAACCTGAGCTACCGCTGCCAGGAGGTGGAGGATCCCAACTACGACAAGCACCCGATCCAGTCCACGATGCAGAACAGAGTCACCGCGCCCGCGAAAGGTGAGCCCGGGCACAAGTTACTGTTAGGGGAAGCTGCTCGAAGGACTCGGCACGCGATACGCGCAACTTAGATTCCTTTCTACCTGCCGCGAGGACGCGAGGGGAAAACTGGAGAAAACAAATCTAGCTTAAAGCTATCCAAGCTACGTTTAATCTGATCGAGGGACACGGAATTTTTTTTGGACGCACGCGCAAAAACACCCCGGTTTTAATTTAGCACGTTTATTTTAGCTTCATTTATTTTCACTTGCTCCTTTTCCGTTTATTGCTCTCTCAGCTAATCGTCGCAGAAAAACACAGGCGAAAAAGTGTCCGAGAGAGGTTTCGATTTCGCCAAGTAGATCTTGGAAATTGGAGGAACCGCGCATTTTTATATCCCTCAATCAGATCAAGCTTAATCTAAATTATGTTGCCGAAGTTAGAAATGATTTTCGCCAGTCCTCGAAGAATTGGGCCGTTAAAACCCCTTCGTACCGCGAGTGGGACGGGCGGGCGCGCGATCGCGAAATTATTTTATAATAAAAGCGAATATGCATTCTAGCCGTAAATGTGAAAAGCGTGTAAACGTAGTACTTAATAGTGTGCTTTAACGAGGAAAAATAAATTGCGAAGATAGAGGGTATATCTCGAGCGTTGCTTTCGGAACGAGTATGTTTTCCCGCAACACGGAGTCTCACCCTCGGTCTGCATGCAGCCCCGCGCAGCCTGTGTGCGCGCGTGTGTGTGTGTGTATAAAGATTGGGAGGGACAAGTGAGGAGAGGAGGTAAATGATTCACCCCTTAAACCAACCATGAAATTAGATCGGAGGGGGACACGCAGCTTCCCTGTTGCAGACACCTTTCCAGCCGCTGTGCGAAACTGTCGCGACGCGGCCTTAAAAACAGTTAATTATCTCGCGTTAAATTCAAACGAGGCACTTGGCCGTAGATCTCTTATTTCAGCGCGCGCGCGCGAGAGATCACCGTGTATCTCGTGGATCCGAATGTTCAAGTCTCCATCGTGTCGGGAGGGGAGCGGGAGATTCTTCTCCGGAAAGGATTTTCCGTGGGAAACGTCCTGAAACGTTTGCGTGGGAGATTCGTTCGAGATACTTACGATCACATTTGCCCGGAAATAAGCAACGTTGGCCCGAGTGAGATTGTTGGCATTAATTGTACCGCGTGCATTTCACGGACACGGACCCGCTGATACTTTACGGCGCGCGGCCGGGTAGTTTATAGATAGTTAGTTTACGTAGCGTATTAAATTTGATTAAAACTTCCGGGGGCCGGTTCGCCGGAGTGAGGACGTAAATTTGTATCGCTCTGTAAACCGTAAATAACGCACTTAGAAAGGTGGCGGTAGCAAAGCGTTTGCAATTAAGAATAGACGGGTTTGCCGTAGATAGAAACACGTACTTCACCATCTTCCCACAGATCAGTTCTCAGACTGTCTCCTGATTTTGATTGATTTGTCTTTTAATTGTTTCCAAGACGGATGGATATATACAGTGTGTCCAGAAATGTACATACACGACGGGCGCCCCCGTATACCCTTGTACACCTCTGTATCCGTTGAGTTTCCCGTCTCTTTCTCTCTTTCTCTGTTTTGTTGTTAGACAACAGCCAATTACACACACGTCCTAGTTGAACACTCGAACAGTTCTCTTTCTATTTCTCTCTTTTCTTTCTGCGTATGGTTGATTTCGGGATTCAATTGACGAATCATACAGATTTTTCACGAATCCTAGTTCAGCATGGATTAAACTGTGTTTCAATCTTTTTAGCGTACAGTTTATGTCAAGGTAAGCCCCCTCTTGCAATTCCATTGATAAATTAGCTTTCCGTTCGAGAACGTAGTTATATCGCATGCCTCGCCTTGCCAGATCGTTAAAGCTGACTACGTTACATACGAGTTTTATGTTTTTCCTGTAAAAAAATTTGATTTCTTCCATTCGATGTCGCAACCGCAATGTGTGTGTTTTTTTTAAAGCGATGATTCATACCTCTGTATACACTGTGTCTATTTCGCAAAATTCGCTAAAATTCGAAAGCAAAATTGACCGACGAGCGAACAAATTCAACGAGCTTGCTGCAGAGTATGGCATATATATAATAGTTTACAGTTTCGTTTCTCTTTTCGTTTGTTGCATAGACAATTATTTCGTTCAACTCGTTAGCGGGTTAGTTTAGAAACATTTAGAAGTGTGCAAGTGTAGGCGCCTCAGGACACACGGACACGCGAGTCGTCGTCACTTATCTCGATATCGCTCAATGTTTTCTGCAACGCTGCTGCAATATATCGCGGAATAAGGAATCTCGCGGGAAACGACTCGACAATTGGATGCTGCAAATCAATCTGGTCCCGAATCTCGAGTAAAAATTAGCGCGACAACCCCGCCTCTCGGGCCTCGCGGTTCCCTCAATTCCCCGGCGACTTATTAATATGAGCCCTCCGTCGTTCTGCTCTAGGTGAGAATCTGGGCTGCTTCGGCGGCAGCAAGAAGAAGAAGGACGGTCAGCCGGTCCAAAAGGAGACGACCGCGTCACGTACGACGAGTCCGCGTACCGAGCCAGTCAGGGGAATGGAATTGCTCTGGCAGCCGGAAGTGGTCCAGTCGTATCTCAGCCTCCTGCAAACGTGCTCGAATCCGGAAACGCTCGAGGCCGCCGCCGGGGCCCTGCAGAACCTCGCGGCCTGCTACTGGCAGCCGAGCATCGAGATTCGCGCGGCCGTACGCAAGGAGAAAGGTCTCCCTATATTAGTGGAGCTCTTGAGAATGGAGGTAATTACGATGTGCGCAATTTTTGATGGTCGCCCCGTGAATGCGCAAAGGGCACGCGCGATTAGAGATTAAAGCAAATGAAATAAACGACTGTATTGATTGGAGTGCACTTGGATTGCCTGAACGAAATTCTCACCCGACTTTATGCTAATTATCTCACGTTCTCTCTTTTATCGCGTATAAAGTATTGTCCAAATTGACACTTATTCTTCCATGTATAAAATTCGCGATGTCTAACTTTACGTCTTGCATTTCTGGATTTCGATTATACTTGTAAAAAGATATCGCTGGAAGAGAACGTAAATAAAAGATTTGATAAATTTTTACTGCAGTAAATGACAAAAAGATGTCTTTCTTAGTCGCTGGTATACTTACTGAAGTCAGTCACGCGTTTATTAATAAGGCTTACTCTTCGGAGTAAGTAAAATTGAATTTTGTGGCCAATAATGTATTTCCTGCGGCCAGGTGGACCGAGTAGTCTGCGCGGTCGCGACCGCGCTGAGAAACTTGGCGATAGACCAACGCAACAAGGAGCTAATAGGCAAATACGCGATGAGGGACCTCATCCAGAAGCTACCGTCTGGAAATAATCAGCACGATCAGGGCACGAGCGACGACACGATCGCCGCGGTGCTCGCGACTCTGAACGAGGTCATCAAGAAGAACGCCGAGTTCTCGCGGTCGTTGCTCGACGCCGGCGGCGTTGACAGACTGATGAACATCACCAGGCAACGCCAGAAATACACGCCGCGCGTTCTTAAATTTGCAGGTAACATTCTCGGGCCGAACACAGACCGAAATAATTGTCCCGGTGATACACACTCTCGTCATGAGAATACGTAAACGACTTAATTAAACAACCAACGAGAATGCCATGATTTTATCTAGGGGTCTTATTTAACTCTAACGATTTAATTCACTGTGCGTGCAATACATTATTATATGTATATGGAGAAAGAGATTATCGTATTTATGTGCATTTTTAGGACAAGTATTGTTTACTATGTGGCAACATCAGGAACTGCGAGACGTGTACAAGAAGCACGGCTGGAAGGAGCAAGACTTCGTCACGAAAACCGTCGCCGCCAGGAATTCAGGGCCTAATTCACCCAACAACGCTAACAGGTAATTATCGCCCGCAAATGGAGCGATAAATAAAATTATACGTATATATTTATAAACGTACATATGGCTGACAGGCTGCCGCAGTAATGAACAATTAAAATATCGACATGATAATAGAATGATAAAGTTTAATCAACTGTTACAATTGAAAGATTTTTTAATTAAATTACGCATAAAATATTATAGAAACGATATTTTAATTAAGTTTTGAAATACTCGGTGTTATGTGTTATTCAACTGTCCGTATTTTTAAACGGATCTGGTTTCTCTGGGCTTTTGTTTACGTTTAATTATCGAAAACATCGTCATTAAATTAATTTCGTTTGCTTCCCCTCCCCCCCCGCGAGTACGAATTTGCAATATTTCTTTCTGGTACTTTGATTTCTGGGACTCCGCTTATCTTCCGTTTATGATTTTCCCGGTTTTTTTTTGTCGCGTGAATTTATTTAGTTCGCGATATTTATTATGCGGAGTCCTCCCACCTTTCTCCCGGGCAACTCTCGATTCTACGTTAAAATACAGCTACGATTGCAGCACTCTGAATCGACCGATGGCGAGCCAGGGAAGCACAAGATACGAGGATCGAACGATCCAGCGAGCGAACATGAATTCGAATAATGTCGGTCGACCTACTATATATCAATCAGTAAGTAATAATAACTAACAGCATCACTAGATAAATATACGCCGCGTAGACACACCATAGGATGAGTAAAAGCGTACTCGAAGAGCCGTAGGGAAAGAAGTCACACGTACACATTATATGCAATCTGAGCCGTCGGTCTTACGAGAAAAACGTTCACTAATGTTTACTAAATAATATTTAAAAAGCAGCGATTTGAAAATATAACTGTAAAACAATTTTCACTTTTTAAATGTGGATTTACATTTCACGTTTATACGATGCCGCCGCAGATTTATACAAATCTTTCTATATTTCGGACACTTCGCTCTACGTTTATTCATCCGTTTGAATTCGATCGTCATTTCTTTACTCGATTTTAATGACGAAAACGAATTAATTTAACAAAGAAAAACTTATCAAGTCAATAACATTTATTTCATGAGACTGACGAAATTTCGTCCTATTAATCTCGATAATTCGTTGCTACCACAATTTTTTAATATTCGTTATACAGAATAGAATTTAAGAGCTACAGTCTTTCGACATGACTTCCTTCAACACGCCAGATGGATCGTACACACCAACAAATAGTTATATTTAACTTTGTAGTTAGTGTTTGACTTTACTTAGGCTCGCAACGTGATTCCGAACGTGACAGAGGTAGTTACCTAGGACGATCGACGCGGCCTTTCGGCGCAATCGATTGTGCCGAGACGAAGGAACGTCACTCCGTAGCTTTCAGCCGAAAACACACAGCCATTGTAATTTACGCGATAAAACTGTACACAAGCTAATTGAGTAATAATTTAGATCAGCGATTGTCTTCCCGCAGTTTGGACGACCTTGTAAAGTTTCCACTTTTACCGCGCCTTTCGCTAGGTGGACACAACGAAAACTTGTGCGCAGTGAAACGAACGTTTTCTAATGGTTTTTCCTAACGCTCTGAAATCCGGACGAACGTTTCTAATAAATGTTACTATACACATAAAAAAATTAATCGTCATATATGATGCACGTCGATCGATGCGAATCCCATGGTTGTACGAGAATCCACGTAACTGTTTACACGAATTGCCGCACGAAACTGGACCAAACTCTCACTTTTTAATAACGCCGCGTAGCCACGTTTTGAATCCCGCGACTTTTTGCACGGTTTTCACCCGACAGTTTTCCAACTTGCTAATTAATCCAATCGATTCGCGCGCGAGAGGAGGACGGGGCTCGCGCGACGTAATCTTAGAAACGCAGTGTTGCTACTAACGACTCTAGGTCTAAGCGAGATACTTCGCATCACGTTGTACACACACGTCTTCTCCGTCTCCGGAAGAACGCACAAATTTACACTGACAATGAGGAGCTGACGCGATCACTGCCTAAAAACGAACACCCTCACACCGTCACAGATCGACGACAATTATTTTAACTTGTAGCGTAACGATAAGAGAAATGATTTCGTAGGATACCGATTGATACCGCCGAGGTGAGCATTTGTATCGAGCCGGGAGGCGAGCTCGCTTTCCTACGCATTTTCCCAGTGCCCTGCTAGTTTAGTTATATTTTATTAGCGAGCTATAACACGCATTTACAGCTAAATTATTACGTAGCCTATAGTCTGTACTGTATACCCGATTTTGTATATAAGCTTAGAAAGTGATTATATTAATCTTGTATACGTAAGTTACAATATTATACAGAGTATAATTAATAATATTCGGTATTCGCACGCCACACACGACGTCCGTATAAAGTTATTGATCCTTCGGTATATGCTGTCCTGTGGAAATTTATTTTCGAGATATAATACCGTCGACTATAAGGGAGTTTAACGGAGAGACCGCGTCAAATTGCCCGGCTCGCCGACGACGTAGGAATTGGCGATCTTTTGTAACGGCAGGTTTCATTTTCGCAATCACGCGCGAGGCAACGAACGGGACGTACTCGTGCGGAATTTCATTTCGCGTCCCGCGCACAGGAGGGGACCCGCGCGAGGGCTAAACATTATTATGTATGGTTTCTTGTAGCGTACACATACAACACGTTAAACACACGATACACGCGATTCCATGTGCGTCTTTCATATTCATGTGTATCTCAGCTACGAAATTACTCACGTCACCGTCGGAATACTTATATTCTGTATTTAGCCGAATACTAAAAAAAAACGCAATGTAACAAAAGAGAACGATTACTTGAAAATATGTATATTAGATAGCCTATATACCTGATTGCAAATAAAGGCCAAACATATCACATCTTTTCGTGGTTTTGCCTGCATGTTACAGTGTACTCTCGATTATCCGCCGTACGCGGAGACAATTGCAAAGCGAGAGAAAGAGAGAGAGAGAGAGAGAGAGAGAGAAAGGACGGAATGCAAATCACATTTCGCTTATCTCGAGTTTGACTAAAATTGACAACGCAAGTGACAAGTTCTTGGTCGCGTAATTTTCTCAACAATATACGCGTTGCGTTTTCTAATAAATCGTTTATAGACCGCAGCCTGATCTGCAGTCTCTTTGCGATTCTGTTTTGCGTTAACAAATCGATACGCTTAAGAAATTTGTCGACAACGTACGATTGTGCGATGTCGCACAATTTATCAATTTGCGCAAATATTTTAGTATTTGCTGGCTACAAAGATAGAACGTCTCGAAGAGCACATTGTAGATGAATTTCTTCTCTCTGTAAGAGTAACGCCTGGCGCATCCGCGACTCGCGAATATACGGACGATCGAGGGTACAGTGTGCATGAAATGTCACCCCCAAAGTGTCTGAGCTTCTTTCAGCGTCCGAAGGGTCGAGGCGCCGCGCGGTTCTCCCCACACCCTCGCCCACCCCCCCTTGCAAGAGAGACGCGCGAGACCACCAGTTGGCTAACCGTTGGCTTGTGTGTGTGTTGCAGCAACCGAAACCCGGTGAGCCGCTCTACGCGCAAGTTAACTTGGAGAAGAAAAAGAAGCGGCAGTACGAGCTGGGGGTGGGCCAGGGTGGCCAGGTGGGTCAGGCCGGCGGCGTCGGTGCCGCGATACCCGGGGGCGGCGGCGGCGGCATAGCTGGACCGGGCGGCGGCGGCGGTGGCGGCCAGTGGGTGCCGGACGGCGTCGGGATGGTGCCGGACGGCACCGGCGCCACGTCGGTGGCGGCGACGGTGGCGAACCAGGTGCCGCCGCCGAGCTCGACCGCCGCCGCCGCCGGCGACTCCTGGGTATAACGGGTCCTACGAGCGGGTCCTACGCGGGACCGCCGGGAGGACCTCGCCAGGAACCACGGCCTCGTCGCGCGGCCATCGTCGTCGCCGCCGACGCCGCCGCCTCTGCCTCCGCCTCCGTGCCTGTCCATGTAGCGGAGGTGTCGTACGGGAGGAGGCTCGTGTCTCGCATCCCCCGCCCCGGGATGCGAAATGACTCCTCCGCGGGATCTCGGAGGGTCGAAGGCGAACGAGAGATCTGAGGAAGACCTCGACTTAACACTTAAGCGGATTCTGCTCGATGACGACGTGAGGGGACGCAGGACGGGCGGACGCCCGTCGTAATTTGTTCGGGCACCGTCCGGGTTGGTGACGTCGCGATCGAGTTAGCTGGAGATGTTGGAGCGAGTTGGAGGAGACGTTTGTTCGCAGAGGGATATCGAGAGAACGTAGCGATCGTGTGGAGAGCGTAGGGATTCGGGGAATCGTCGGCGACCCGAGATAGAAGGAAGGTACTCGGAGTAGTGGCGAGAGAATATGCGCGAAAGTATTATTAGATATTGGAGAATTACGCGACGCGCTCCACTTCCTGAAGGCTGGAGGCGGCAGGGCGATGAGACATTACGCTTTACCATTGGAAACAGACGTCCATATTACGATTAGGAAGAATCTCGGGAGAAGAATGCAGGCAAGTTAACCGCGTCGAGTTGACCGAACGAATGGCAGCTAAATGTAGGGTGATAAAGGCGGGCAGCTTTCAAATTGGAGAACGAGGGCGAGGAGTGTATATTGATCTACTTGAGACTACGAACGGAGATGTATATAGTACACAGCAGCTGAAGCAGGGATAAACGCACCGATGACGAAACGAACGAGCGGATCAACAAGTGGAGGAACGGAGAGAAACGGCGATACGTCGCGCCCCGAGGGAGAAAGAAAACCTGCGCGCTTCCGGTACTCGCGAGCGAGATAGACTACGCTACTGACTGGACGAGCGGATTGGAACATCGGACTCGAACGGAAGCTGAAGATCGAGCTAGAAAAAGATAGACCGGCCCCGATCACGCTCGCCGGGATAATCGCGCGTCCTGCCTTAGTTTTGACGACGCAAGGAACAACCCTTTTGCCCACACGGCCTCTCTGCCGCGTCGTTTATACGAGCGGCGGCGTTGTAACGGCACGGACTTTAAATAGCCGGGAAAGGAGAAAGGGGTCGAGATCAAAGGGGCGCGCCTAAGATATCGAAACGTCTTTGGTACACCTCGATTAGGTACACATGAACTGCGAGAGGAGCGCTCCGGCCGACCTTGAGGGAGCCGACCTTGACGCATTTTTATCGGAGTCCGAGAACCCCATCGACGGGATGACGAAGATCGAGATCGGTAGCGAGGAGGACGAGGCAGCGAACAGAGTACACCGTGCCCACCGAGTGGATCCGGCGAACGCGAGAACGCGCTTGCAGATGCACGCACCTGCAATCTTGATATACGATAATAGTTATCAGCGAGCGAGAGAGAGAGAGAGAGAGAATGAGAAAAAGAGAGGGAGAATGAGCGACGTCCAACCACATCCGCAGCAGTAGTCGCACTAATGGCTCTAATACCTTCATTGCACAATTCTAAATTAATATATACATATATATGTCTGCGTATTAATATATTGTAAACACGGCACGCATATGCGCACGTACACGTATACATGTACACACACATTACCCCCGTAAGTGTATATTTTAAGGTGGTATTAGCGGCGGCAAAAGCGCGAGCGTATACCGATCATCGCGAAGTACTGTGCTAATAATAAGTTAGGTGTGTCTATGTAAGTATTATAAATAAGTAAAGGCGAGGAGGAGAGCGCCAGGGCGACTCGAAGGGAGGATCACCCGTGATTTTGAACTGAATAATTCATGGAGAAATATATATATATATAAAATTAAATATAATATATATTATCGAATATATATTATATTTAATATATATTTATGATATAGTTAATGAATATATAATTATATTATTAAATAATTATATAGTATATACACACCAATCAATTATATTAATATTAATTTTATATATTATAAATATATATAATTCTATTTGATTATATGTATACATATATATTTCTTTTTCTCTCAGCAGAACGATAAACAACTCAATTAAGTAACACAGGGCATCCCGCGTTCGCGAACAATTATTAAACACATTGTTTGATCAATTGCGACGATAACAAACTGTTCGACGGTTGTTATAATTATTCGTGGATTTAAATTCGGCGAACGGCACACAGGGAAGACCCTCGGAGAAATGGCATTCAATTTAAGGGAGAAGGAAAGATCTGTACATATACCTCTGCTAGCGGAGAAATATCACACGTAAGAGCCAATTAATAATTAATCCCGTTACCACTATAAGAAAGAGAGAGAGAGAGAGAGCTGCACTTGCTTCTTTGTAATACTTGGACACCCACCAATCGTCGCGCTCATTATAAATATTCGAGAAGACATGGACATATAAATAAATGAATATACAATATCTAAGTATATATAAATATATATGCATTTATATGTTTATATATATTTACACTGGCGTAGGATCTAGCATATGACTGTATTAATGTAAACTTCTGAGGCTGTGGGTGTGGCGCAAGGATGCTGATTTATTATACGGAGCTGCTGGCACCGTTGCAACGCGTGCGACTTTAGGGAGTGCTTTTAACTTCCGAGGTGCGCATGTGAATCCGGTCCGTGTACGAGCGAGAGTGCGCGCGGTGTCGAGGTGGAGACGCATCGTCGTGTACACGCGCGAGCTCGTGTCTCACCACGAGTAGAAATTACACACCATTGGATGGACGGCGACTACCAACTCTGGATTTATGCGCCCGGGCAAACGCGTGGGAGAAAGTTGTAATTTAAACCGTTGGACCGTCTTTTAAGGGGGGGGGGGAATTTATTAGAGAAGTACGATTTATTTTTAAGTAGAGAATATATATATATAATTAGAAAGGAATATTTTTTATTTTGTACGTTTTACTTTTTTTTTACACGCGCACGTATATCGCTATTTTGTATATTTTATTTTAGAGAAGCGTGATATCTACATGGTGTATAATAATTTATAGAATAAAACTGACGAGTAAAAAGTATATGTGGATGTCGCTCGATAAGCGGCGGGCGACACGGAACATTGTAAGAACAAATAAAGTGTGAGGGGGAGGCTCCACGAGACAACACCAATGACTAACAATCAATGCTATTAACATCGGCGCTTCGCCATGATTATTTATAGTGCAATATAATAAGATGCGAGCTCACGTGACGTAATAAGGGTGGGTCTCCACCTTCGGTCGACGTTTCGTCCTCGAACGCGATCCGCGCGGTCGATCGGCGGCGCCTTAGAGCCATTACTATTAACTATACGACGTAGATACAATTAGCGAGCTGCGAGACCAATGTACGTCGAGCCCGTCAACACGTGCAAGAGACCCAATAGCGAACACGAGAGCGAGAGTAAGCGAGAGAGAAAGAGAGAGAACGTATGTGTTTTTTTTGTGTGCGTTAACGTTATTCGATGGTTACAAGGTGACATATTAATTAGCCGATATACATATTATAGATATAAAAATATATATATATATCCCTGTTCTCTATTTCTTAAAGTAATATTACGACAGAGTTGATCAGAGAGGAACACGCGACGGAACAATGGCTGCTCTCCGTGAGAAGACCGGACGACGATCGTCTATCCTCTAAATTATTTCGTCGTCAACTTCGACCGGCTTAGAAGATTGAATCGCGGGACTGGGCGAAAGTTTCGGGAAAGTAAATATCGGAGAACGGAGTCGCTGGGTCTCGGGACTGGCTGAAACTTATCCATTTATACGAGCGTGGCGTATTATTATTATTATTATTATTATATGCGGAGAAGGGCGGAAAATTTTACACTACGTAATTCAGAAGAATTCGCCATCTGAATTGTATGCCTCGGTACAAAAACTGACGTCGCTCTCGGCCTTTATCGTCGCCGATTGATTGCGCGACGAGCTCGATTGGTTTTGTTAAGGTGGACGATCGTC